TATCTTTTGTGTATCATATCTTGGTTCGGTACTGGTGGTGACTAATAGCTTTGTATATCGATATTTACAACTCTGCAGGTATAAATGAGCCTTAGATTAGTTTCGCGTTGTCTAAAACTTACATTTATATTTTCAGGATGCAACTTTTTCAGAATCTTCCTTCTTCACGAGCAATCATGACGTGCTTCGCTACTAATGCTATACTTATAATTTATTATACTGTGGCCATTTATTTGATCAGTTTTCCTGACGAAAATCTCAGATATTTTGTCGAAAGCTCTATCATAATATCGGAAACGAATTTTCGTGGAGCCTCTTTCATAGGCATGTCAGCAAAGGTAGGCCAATCTGTTCATCATTACCTGCACACGTTTTTGGGAAAACAGAAAAACGTTTGGAAGTTGGTCTTCTGAGGCGCCGAGAGGAGGAGGAGGAAAGTTTTGTAAGTTCAGTGCAACGAACCACACCTCTATTGCGTGATTCTGTGTTTGTAGAAGAACTGATGAACTTGTTTTTCTGGAGCATAAAAAACTCCTATTAGACACTCACAGGTTGTATTTGTGCCTCAAGCTCATTCAAGCGTCGATATAGTAGCTTTGCCCACGCTCGGTCTCCCATGTGAAAACTTTAATTTCAGTATACTATGAGCGCTATGGATGTGGCTTTACTCGCCGTTCTATTTCTTGCGCTAGCAACTCTTGCAGTTATTAATGTATTTTGTGCTGGAAAAATTGGAGCCTTCCTGAGAAAAGCTGCCAGTCGACATAATCCTTTGAAACATCAACGTCGGATGTTCACCCTTTTTCTATTACAGGTACGTCCTTTTTCATTTATCAAGTTGGTGCCCAAATAGTATTAGTAGTCACATATCAGGCATACAGTAACCCAATTAATTTCTTAATTGATTACTTCGACTTTTAGGCTGCTTGTCCGTTTATCTTCATGCAGGTGCCAGCCTTCATTGCTATGTTCCTTGTTTTTGCTGGAATCGACAGTCCCCAGATAATTACCAACTCTATTGACATATCATTTGCTTTGCAACCGTTTTTGAATCCTGTTATAATAGTATTATTTCTAAGAGAATATCGAGATTTTGTTCTTGTCAAACTTAGATTGAAGAGACCATCAAAATCAAGAAATGGGCTGTTTACTGTTAGTGTGAAGAATAATATGCGAAATTCAATGCCCATTGTTCACTGAGTTTGATTATGGAAAAATGTCCTTCACACAAATGCCCTTTAGTCGATTTACTATTATTTCAGCGTTGTTTATTGTCTAGGATAACAATTTTTGCATTTCGTTCCACTATGAAGCACGAATTTGGTCTCTTCTGTGGAATCAATGTCAACAAATCTCACATGCAACTGCAGGATAAGGCATAGATTTTGACTTCGTCCGCGGACATGAAGGGATTACTTCAGCTTCATGATGACAGCAAGAATCTGAAATTTTGCATACGATTAGTGGCTTGCTTCCTTAGTCGGAACAAATTCAGAATTACTATGATTATCGTGATTAGACTCAGCTGAATACCTACTGACTCTTCGAAGAGTGACAAAAACGACGAAAAGATCGGTTTTGGGGCTCGATCAGTAGTTCTAGTTTCAATAAACTACCCTTGAAAGTTGGTTTCCTGATAGCCATCCAGTTCCATAATTTTGAATATCCGTTACGGAGCTCAATACTTATCAAAACGCCAACCTTGTGATGCAAGCATCGACAGCTAAGTTATGTATTTATACCACAAAATGGAAAAATTATTCAAGAGGAAAAAGAAGAGTCTCGCCACTCTTTTCTTACTCAACCCTTGCAACAAAACTGAAGTTTACGTTCTGTAGAAAAAAATAGGCATATATAACAGTAGTAATTACTGTTTTTGCTTTGGAACTGCTACTTAAAACCAAAAAACAGAAGTAAATAAAATTTGCAGAATTCGGATTGCAAAATACGCCTTATCTCACACGAACTCGTCTTCCTAACAACTGAATGTCTGAGCTGGACGCGCTGACGATTGTCATCTATTCGATATGGACCTTCTCGATTGTGAACAACGTAATTCTTCTTATCATATATTATCAGTGCCCACTGCAAAAAATGAAATCGTACAAATACTTCTTTTTGTTCGCTGCAGTACATGATATTGCACTTTCAGCGACGTTTCTTCTGTCGATACCGGTGAGAAGTTATATAACATAAAAGCGGTCGTAAAACAAATTTTTCATAGCCATTCATTCATAGTATTGTCAAAAGTTTGATGGTTAGTTCTACCCATTTTGTAGTTTCCCAGCCCCAGTAACAAGTATTGTTTCCATCATCTTCCACTTTTAAGTAGAATCGTTTTCAGCGAATCATTTCACGGGATGGTTTTTACACAGTAATTGCCACAGGCTTGCTCGCTAGCCGTCCCACAGGGACCATTTTACTTATTCTTTTTTGTGTATCCTTTCTCGTTACCACACTTCTAGTTACAAACAGCTTTATATATCGCTACTTATATTTGCTCAGGTAAGCGAGGTCATTATGCAAATATGGCTTTGGAAGGAAGTAGTTTGTGAAAGCTAGCATTTTCAGGAGACAATGGCTTCAGCAATATTCCACTGCAAAGCTCATACTGTTGGGCTTTTTTGTGAACACATCACTATTAATCGTGTATGGTGTGACAGTATACGAAGTCGCGCTTCCCGATGAGGATCTGGATGGCCTGATAAGGAGCACAATCACGATACCAGGAGTGGATATGAATGAGACTTCTTTTATTGGACTATCTACGACGGTAGGCCACTTTATGACTAACAGACCACGATAGTATCCGAGGTTATGTTACCAGTTTTCCAGTGTTGTGGTAACTGAATAAGTAGGGAACCGTCCCGTTAGTAAAAAAAATGTATATCGGCTCTAGAGATAGCTGGAACCTTGAGAACAAACTTGCTCGTCAGAGCTTGCCCTTCCCTTTTTGGAAAAATGAACCTGAGCAGTTAGTTGAAATTTATTGACCCGGCCAAAAGCCAAAAAAGAGTTATCTTAATATTCAGGGCTAATCAACTGGGTTTCTGACTCGATACCATTTGATTAGACCTTAGAAATTGTTGCGAAACTTCAACGGCAAACGTTACAGCAGAATTGATTTCTTCGGAGTGTCGAGATTGAAGACATACCTGTGATTAGAAATGAGACCGTACCTGTAACTGAAATCACGGTTCACGATAGGATGACTACTGAGATTTCTGCAGGGGATAAAGCTGTATCCCCAAGAATAGCACAAGGGACACTGTTAGGTCGAAAACGGTCTAGATAGGGCATAATAAAACCCTAAGCTAGCTCAGTCGACGTACATACCAGGGTGAGATCAGTTTTCCTTGGCGAACCAGCAGCAAAAAGATGTACGTTGCTGAATAATGTCTTCATCGTTTTCAGGTCTCTTTGAGTACAATGGATCTAGTACTTTGCGTCAATTCAAGTATGATTTTCGTACTGACAGGTGGTATAAACATATTTTGTGCCAAGGAAATCTGTGTGTTTCTGAGAAGCGATGCACTACGTCTCAGCTCTCTTACATTACAACGTCAAATGTTCATTCTGCTCCTATTACTGGTACGGATTACGGTACAATACCCTTAAGAACTTTGGGGCATTCAGAATTACTGGTGGTGACCTTTTGTTGCTTCAGAAGGTTAAATCCTGTTTGAATCCAAAATCATGCTAGCTGTAGAGAAGGAATGCGTTAGAATGTTGAAATGTTATAAGGAAATCCTCGTTCTTGAGAGTTATGTCCGAACATTGGGGACGAGGTGGTGTAGTGACATGTGGCACACTATCGCACACTTATTGTCCGCGGCTCGAGCTCCCGGCTCGATCCTCCCCAGGTCAACATCTGAGCCTTCGTTCCTACTGGGTTAGTGAATTGTCACCTGATTTGTCTGGGAGGATAAAAATACTGATTTGTACATCGGTTGGCCATTATGCAAGCCACATACGCTCCGAACGCAACGACGATTCTGAATAGAAGTTGACCGAGGGATAAATTCCAAAATGGAGTTGACTAACGCCAAAGACTTTGTCCTACGGAACTTGTTTTTGGTAAAACCCGATTTTGAACATGATAGAAAACGTTTTTTTGACGTATTAGATCTTCTTTTAGGCTGCTTGTCCAGTCCTTTTCGTGCAGATGCCTTTCTTCTTTACATCCATTCTCTTCTTCACTGGTTTCGACACTACTCCACTTATAACCAACTTGCTTGATATTCTAATGGCATTATTACCGCTTGTGAATCCTATAATAATTATAGCGTTTCTAGGAAACTATCGGAATTTCGTTCTTACCAAACTGAGAATTAAAAAACCTCCCCAAGAGTCCAACATACGCACACGCTCTCCAGTTACTGACATCCGAAATAGAGTACCAACAGCTCGCGCAACATCGAAAGCAAATACTCCTTGATGAGTGAATCACCAAAAATCTCTCCAATTCAAGTTTTAATTCTCTTGCTTTGTAACTTAGAGTTTTTAATGAAACATCACTTGCGAGGAATAAATTTTTGGTGAGTTGCTGTTGAAGTGCTCAGTGTCTCGACTTTAGAATGATTTCAGCAACAGAAACTCAGCACAAAATTACTGGTTTGTTGCTGGACGTGTCGGCCAGTAATTTCACAATAGTCCAGGTTTCTCCCCGGAATTCAGTGAAAACTTCCATAAAAAAGAGAAGGATGCTTCTTTCTTGCCTGCTTAATATGTCAGGAGATTCTGTGGTAAGAGAATTGGTCCAAAAGAACTTCCCAGCCTAAACGATAAGATCGAGGGTAATCTTTGACTACGTTGTTCGAGGCTGCGAAGCATTGGAATGAGCTGTACACAGAACGATTCAGGAGAGGTTTCAAGGCAAATTCTTCAACACGAGTTTCGGTGGGTTTTAGCAGCGGTGTGGGGGATTTATGTTCGTGAAGAAGTCGTGCCTATGCTGCTCCTTGATTTCTGAATGTTTGATTATGTTGTTTTAACTGACAATGAGTCATGTGTATTTTATCTGTTGAGTTTTTTTCTGCTGAAATGGTTTTAGTTTTTTTTATACACACATAGTTTTGTCAAATTGTTTCCATCTCTCAGGCATCCCTATAATAAAACTAAAGCCATTATCATTCTGCAGAAAAAATAAGTATATGTAGTAGTTGTAATCACTGTTTTTGCTTCGTAAATGCGTCTTAAAATCGAAAAACAAATATACATAAAATCTGCAGGTCTCAGTTTGCTAAATACGCCTCATCTCACACAAACTTGTCTTCCTAACATCTGAATGTTTGAGCTGGATGCGCTGACGATTGCCATCTATTCTATATCGGCCTTCTCGCTCGTGAATAACGTAATTTTTCTCATCATATATTATCAGTGCCCACTGCAAAAAATCAAATCGTACAGATACTTCTTCTTATTCGCTGCAGTACATGATATTACGTTTTCAACGACGTTTCTTCTTTCGATTCCGGTAAGAAGTCATACTACTTAAAGTGTCAACAGGGACTCCTCAGTAGACCGGCAGAGGCGCCCATACATTACCTTACACAAAAAATGGTCGTAAAACAAACAATTCCCACTCGAACATAGTATTTTTGAAACATTGATGGTTAGTACTACACAGTTTTGCGGTGTCCCAGCCCCGGCAACAAGTAGTTTTCATCATTTCCCGCCTCTAAGCAGAACTGTTTTCAGAGGATCATTTCACAGGATGGTTTTTACACCGTGATTGCAACAGGTTTGCTCGCTAGCCCGCCCACAGGAGTTATTTTACTTTCTTATTTTTGTGTATCCTTCTTCGTTACCACACTTTTGGTCACGAACAGCTTTTTGTATCGCTACTTACACCTGCGCAGGTAAGTGAGATCACGCTGCGAAGCTGGCTCTGAGAGGAGCTAGTTTATGAAAGCTAACATTTCCAGAAGACAATGCTTCAGAAATATTCTACTACAAAGATCATGCTGTTGGGCCTTATTGTGAATACATCACTTTTGATCGTGTACTGTGTGACAGTTTACGAAATCGCGTTTCCCGATGAGAATCTGGAAGACTTGATAAGGAGCACTATCACGATATCAGGAGTGGACATGAATGAAAGTTCTTTTATTGGAATATCTAAGACGGTAAGCCACATTATTACTCACAGGTCTCTATCGTTCTCGATGTAGTGCTCCCAGCATCAGTGAAAAAATGGATATTGGCTATAGAAATAGCGCGAACCCTGAGAACGAGCCTGTTTGTGAAAAATTTCTTTCCCATTCGGAAATGATGAGTTTCAGTGGTTAATTGAGACTTGTTAACCATTGATCTCGCCAAAAAAGATTTTTCATCTGAACATTCACGACTAATCGTGAATGTTCAGATGAAAAATTCGTCTGTGTACCTGATTTGGCACCATTTGATTAAGTCTCCAAGATTGCTACGACAACATGACCGGCTAACGTTTCGGTAGAAATGACTTCTTTGAAGTCTCCAGTTCGAAAACATATTTGGGATTGAAGATGAAAACATGCCGTGATTAGAGGCGCAGTTCATGATAAAAGTAATTTTTGAGATTTTTGCCTGGGAAATGATCTGTGGTCCCAAGAATAGCATAAAGGATGTTGTCGGATTTAAAGCGACGACGAGTTTTCACGGTGTTGTAGAGGCTGTAGAAACAGGCAGCTTACTGTAGATAAGCTTTGCGCAATGACACATAAATTTGGACAGCTTCCAAATACATTTTTAATGTAACTTTTGTTGCCTATTCTCACCCAAACCCTAATGTTGCTACCTTTTTGAAGCTGTGCCTAATCTATGATCAGCTTTTCTTGGCAAACAAGTTGGTTAGTTTTAGCTCCGACTGTAGGTTTTTTGTGAGTTTTTGTCTTTCAGCTTTTCTCGGAAACTATGGCAGTTTTCAGGAGCCTCGGAGAAACTTCTTCGGATAAAAGGAATTTTAGGCTGAGTAATAGCAAATAGATGTATATCGGCTGAACTATGACTCCATCATTTTCAGCACCCCATGAGTACTATGGAACTAGTGCTCAGAGTCGATTTAATTTCGATTTTCATATTGACTTGTGGTATAAATATATTTTGTGCCAAGGAAATCGGCGCGTTTCTGAAGAGCGGTATACTACGTCTCAGCTCTTTCACAGTGCAGCGTCAGATGTTCACTCTGCTTCTTTTGCAGGTAAAGATTACGTTAGATTCACTTATAGGCACTGTTCACGAAAAATTGGTTTCGGAGATTTGCACATGGTTTGAATTCGAAGCCCCCTCTGTTACCATTTGGGCAGGAAAGGGGTCGGAAAACGGCTGGATAGGGCACAATAAGGCCAGGAACAGTGGGAGACGGGAGGCCTCCGCCCCTCGCTAGGCTGACTAAGAGTTCAAATTCTCCTTCACGACATTAGCACTGGAGCGAAGTTGGTGAAAAATCGCTGATTGGCGAATTGCCAGAGACGCAATGTGTTNACCGCCGTTATTTCAATGTGGAACTCGTTCATCCCCTTTTCCAGCTCTTATTTGACCCTTCGAAATCCTTTTTGTTCATCGTTTTTTGCGATTTTTTTCGTTGTTACCGCTTTATTCTAGAGTAGTTCTATCAATTCCCGTCAAAAAAGGGTACCCTAAATTTATTGCTAACGGTGCCTTTAGGGGGACGCACGATTCGTGCACTTCTCGGTCGTGCGGCAAACTGCGCGGCGGAATTCATGATGACTCGAACGACTCTGACGCCTACATTGAAGCACAAACTTGAAGTGGAGTGGATTAATAGGATCAGCTGACCATACCCAACTATTCTACTTCAGGTTTGTGCCCCAATAATAGGCGTCAGAGTCGTTCGAATCTTCACGAATTCCGCCGCGCAATTTGCCGCGCGCACCCAGAATCGCACGAATCGGCACACACCCGTGCCTTTAAGAATCTAAGACATTCATAACAACCGGTGCGCACTTCTGTTGCTTCGAAAGATTAACTGCTAACTGAAGCCAAATCTGTAAGGAAGTAGAGAACGAATGCGTAAGAACAGCAAAATGTCGTTAAAAAATTTTGTTTTTCGAGAGGTATGTCCGATCAAAAGTAAACGAAGGTGGTGTAATTACAATCGGCGCACTATCACGCATGTACGGTCGATGGCTCGAATTTCGTATGGACACTCCCCAGGTCAACTCCTATATCCCTCCTATGTATGAAAATGCACTGAATGTGCACTGAAGTGCACATCAGCTGGCCACCCCATGTCATAATAAGCGCCACATAAGCGCCCAAACCCAACGACGATTCTGAACAGAAGCTGACTGCAGAGTGCATCCCAAAGAGGGAATTAGTCAACGCCAAAGACTTTGTCCTTAAGAAGTTGTTTTTAGTGAAATCCAATTCTGAAAATGAAAGTGCACGTTGTTTTTAGTCTGATTAAATCTTTTTTAGGCTACTTGTCCAGTTCTTTTCGTGCAGTTGCCTTTATTCTTCACCGTTGTTCTCTTTTTCACTGGTCTTGACACTACCCCACTCATAACTAACTTGCTTGATATACTAATGGCATTATTACCGCTTGTAAATCCTGTAATAATTGTAGCGTTTCTAGGGAATTATCGAAACCTCGATCTTGTCAAGCTGAGACTTAA